CTGACTAGGATTGTTCAGCCAAATCTGTCCTCGGCTTTCATTTCCAGTTGTTTAATGTTTGTCTCTGATTCTTGGCATATTGTGTTCTTTGGTCTTTCTCTTTTCCTTTGGCCTTGAGAATTCCAAGTGAGGGCTTGTCTTGAAGGGTGATTTTCACAGTGTGTATCCTATGCGGTATTTTTTCCGAATTCTCTCTTCATCTGGAATCTCGTTTGCTCTCTGCCACAGATGGTTGTTACTGATGGCATCTGACCCACTGATCCTCAGTATCTTGCGTAGATAACTATTTATAAATACAATATTTCTAACTAGGAACAAATGTAAGGATTCCGCAAAATCTGGCTGGTTCCTTATTACTCAGTTCAAGAAAATGGTTAATCTATATTCATTAAGATAAGTTTTTACATATCGTTGTTAGTTTTTTTCACTATACAGGTAGGATAATCGTGAGATGGCTTTTTTGTGAGCTTAAACTATGTGGTGTAGCTTCTTGTTGGAAAGAACTGGTCTTGGATAGATTGCCAATGAATATTAAGAAGCACTAGACGTCTGTTCCACTCTCTTATGAGGATCATCACCAGTGTTTAACTAGGACCTTTTGTCTTGGATCCAAACGTTTTACCTCTAGACCATTAAGCGGGTGTCCGATGTTGTTATTGTCTAACTTCATTCGATTCGCGATATTGAACAATCCCTATCGATTGCCTTCAGTAGGTTTCTGTATCGCACTCAAAATGTTTGAATCCCGTTGACCATAGCTTCTTATTAGTACTCCAGGAGTTGCATCTTAAAGCTAGTCACTAGTGAGCACATTTTCAATCTTATACTTACATCCTACTGTGACTTTTTTTCGTTTGTTAATTGATTATTCAACGTTTGCATTAGTGGCATTGTTTATTTAGTCTCCCTTTCCTTCTCCATGTGCATATATTTATATTATTAGGTACTGAAAATGCAACTAGCGATTTAAAAATCTGTCAATTTAAACTGGATTCAACGGGTAAAGTAAGTGTGATGGTTGTGCTTTTGTGCTCACTTAACTATATATGAATAAATTTCCGATTACTTAGTCACTATTATTATTATACTATTTTTTCAACGTTCAATATAATTAGGCTTACATTCTATAGATTATCTTGTCGTCAATTAACGTTGGATAGAAAGAGAATCCCTATCCAATAGTCTACGTCTGCTGACATCGATTTGTGTGATGTTTCGCTTTTATAGAGGTAGTAGAGTTATAAGCGGTAATCGAAAAAATTTGGGATCGAAGATAGGCCTCATTAAGTTTAGCCCAGTGAAATAAATTCAAAGAGAGCGAAGAACGGTCATGAAAAATTCAAAAGATTAAAATTTGGTAGAAGACATGGATGCATCTGCGCCATTACAAACGATTTCGAGCCATGTTATTCAAAGCCTCTAACCATTGGTTACGATTGTCTCACGGACCCTAATCTAGTATTTTACACTTACTAATATAGTTGAGTCCAGTTGCCAGTGATATACTCGTTAATTGATAGGCTTAAAAATATTACGAGTTCACTTACTCGGTAAACGGAACGAAGATCAACGACGCAGTGACACGGTAGGCTATTCTAATCTGATTGTCCCAGGTCTCGTTAACTAGAAGTCTTGGTAAAGCGTAGAGAATTTGAGGTTGCTAAGCACACAAATCAAGCTGTTTTGTACAATGATAGAAGCGCCTTTGGGAGAGCCAAAAAATAGCTTACTGAAATAATCCGTCAGCCAATGATAGTCAGGGATTTCGGAGTGTGAAATGTGAGCTGAAGGTTAACTTAGCGTCTCTGGCGTGAAAACACACATATCCAAAAATTTCAGAATAACATCACAAAATTAGGACCTTTTCCAAGTGAGTTCTGTGGATCTAACCTCCCCAACAGTCAGTGACTTTATTTAATTTGTGCAATGTTTTGGTTTGACCGCCCCTATCATATTCTGTCAGTTTATCTTAACATCACGAAACCTCGCTCGTTGAGGTAGGTCGTGGTTAGGCATACGTAACATGTCCCAGCCACCTCAACTGATCAAGACTAACTACTTCATCGATTGATTTGCCATATAGACAACTTGTAATTGAAACCGATCATTAGTAGGTGTATTAGTTGCAGGTTGTAGTTCCCAGTCGTAGCTCATAGTCTTCGTTGCAGGTTATACTCGTAGATATAAGAAAAAAAATTGATCGTTCAAAATTAAGCTGTTTAATCTAACAAATACTAATAATAATAATCATACTCATTAAAAAAAAATCGATGATTATAAAATAAAGTGACACATTTAAAAAATCTCTTTTGTACTTACTTATTAATAAGTGAAGTTGGGTATACACGTGACAAGAATATTCTTTGTTAAATATAAGTGTAACACACTAGTTGTCGTTTAGTTGTTTTGAAATTTTTTCCTGAAAATATTCACTTTTTGTTCATTGTTCGTTAATTGCCGGGTAATTAATTATACAGCTGTAAAAGCTTTCATTTGTCTCATGTTTCGGGCAATATGTTTTGGGATTCGTCATATCTAGTTTTGTGATTATACTGAAATTTTTAAGCGAAATGTTAAATATTCAATCATAGTGTAGTGAAGGAGAACACAGGTGAGGGCAACCGAATTGTATTTAATGAAAATTACAGAGTTACTCAGTAAAATTGGAAAAGCATATCGTAAACGGTTAATTTGCAAATCTTCATTCCATCATCAATCCATTGTCTGACATTTCACTATTCATGCGTTTCATACAAATTCCATTGTATTCCCACTCTTGCTTTCTTGATCTTACTCCACCTACTGCTGCCAGACATTACGTTTTCACTCACGTCATATACTACTTATAAGTAGCGCGCACCACAATAGTAGTTAAAAAGGCATTTTACGCTTCCTTCTATACCAATTATTGTTACTTTTCACTGCCTATTAGAAGCTATTACAATAGACTCATAAATTTCACGATATTCTTCAATCAATCATTTTCCAGTGTTGTTGGTGATTAAAAGCTGCCTCCCATTTGATTCATAATTGTAGTCCACCAGTCACTACTTCTCACGGGAACTTGTTGGAATTCAACTATTAGTCTCAATGTCGTTTGCTTTGTTCAACATTGTTGACAAACGATTTAGATTTTCAAATAGAAAAATTTGTGTTTCTTTTTTATTTCTTCTATCAGATTTCCAATATACAAACTCTTGCATTACGTTCACCGTTAAAACAATATTTACCGGATTTCGAGTATTTAGTTCGTGTTGGTTGGACACCAGATGGGAATTTGTAAGTGATTTTAATAAGCCGTTTGTATTATTATGCAGCAATTAGGTTTTGCATTAGAAAGATTAGCTCGGTTGTGTACATTTAAAAAAATTAAAGAAAGAATTATTGGTTGAAGTTCTGTGGTGATTATTATCCTTGATGGGATATATATCATGTATAGAGTTTGTTCTAATCTGTATGGGACGTTAGGTCTGCAGAACTCGCTTGATAAATGCCTTAATTTCGGATTTTATGTTTCCGAGCACGGGCTGATCAGTTGACCTTGAGATTTCATTTCCCACCAGGAAAATCCTTGGCTGTGATTGGCTGCTGTGTATTTTAGTGTGCTATTTTCGTAACTGTCCCAAGGACGTTTCTATGATGTATAAATAAACGAGAGTTGTGTGCTTGATTGTATTGTGATTGCTGGGTGTTTGTAGAATATACTTTCTACGCATATCAAGACTTTTGGTTAGTCATCGGATCAGGGTAGCCTATCTGGACGCTGGTAATTGTCTCGTTCTCGTTTATCGACTAAGGTGAACCCTTAATGGTTTCAAGCATACCTAGTGACGAACCTAACAAAATCTCACCAGATCGAGCGCATAATCTGTACACTAATGAGTCAACACGGACTAGTTTACATTTTCAACTAATTATTTCATGATATTACATGAATTCACACTGCTGGAGAGTTCTATGTCAGAATGTAGTAGATTTTGAATGTTTCTTGACTTTCAGTGTGGTTGTGTGTACTAAAATCTATCCGTAGTGTAAACTATAAAATGTAGCAAACTTTAGAGGTTGGTAATAAAAATGAATTTATTTTTGAAATCAGGAGTCGATCATTGTTAGACAACCATTAGAAACCTGTAATCACTGAACGGCCGTTTCGTCCTAGTATAGGACGACTCATCAGCAGTGCTGATTCACGACTCCCACTACTCGCTGGAATCAACCCTGTACCTTAGGTCTTGTGTGTGAACGCTTAACCTCTAGACTACGGAGCTGGCATTCAACGGTGCTAATGTCTAACTCTAACCAATCTCTAATGTTGTGCTACCTCACCCATTGTTTTTGAACAGATACTGCCGACACCTAACAAGATTGGACTCCACTGATCACGGCTTAATGAAAAGAAAAAAATTGTTTTTTAAGTTTGAAGCAGCAGGTTATTGAGATCAAGTTTCAATTTCGAAAATCAATCCTAGGATTAGCTAATGCATGCTCATGTGATAAGTGTCAGTGAAGGTGATGAAATACTCGTGCCGGTTATTTTACTCTTAGTCAAAAAACCAAATACTTTTCAAAGATGAGGAAAAAATGATATTGTTCACTATTGGGAGTGGGCTTCACAACTCAGAGAAAAAATGTTAGTTGTTCAGGACCAATTTTTACTAAACAAGAACTCATTGAATTTCTGTTGTATTTTCTCTGTGAATTAAGAAAAAATGTTTTGTGTGTGTTTCATTTTTAGTGTTTGGTGTCAACTGATCACTCGCTTACAACAACGTCTTTCACTTATATTAATTCCAATAGATAATTTCTTACCTATTTCTTCTAATGTTGTTGATCATTCCGACCCATCGACATCATCATCATCGTCAACATCTACATTACCAAATGCTTCGTTTTCACTCTTCACTTCACCATGTATAGAATTAGTAACTGAAGTGGAGTCAAAATTTTGGATTAAGGTAAGTTTGGGTTTGACATACGATTGTAAGCCACATTTAGTTTTTTTATGTAATTGATGTTTATTGAAACTATTCCGTTGTTTCAGTCATGTGCTGGAAAAACAAACTTGATTGAACCTGAGTGACAGTGACCACCCGGCAGCTTAACTGCAGAACTCAAGCAAGAACTACCTGTGAGACTAGTCACACAATCTTTTTTGTTTACTTAGTTTTTAGTGTGTTAACGTTGTAATTTAAATATCTTTACTGTTAGCGACGGATACCTATGACACTCAAACCAAGATATGCTGCACTTAATCGATCTTTTCTAACTGTTTCCTTTTGTTATTATAAAATAAAAGCATTAATACAAATGCTGATTGTCTGTACCAATCACCTATCATGAACTATATCTTATATGTTTTAATAGGTTAGTCATTCAAACGTATATTATTGTAATATACTTTATTTGGTTTCACAGTAAAAAAGATTGTTTGCAATGATTATGATAAATAGTTTAGTAATTATGTTGTTTATTATTTCGTCACAAACTATGACAATATTTTTTTGATGTTAGTTTTACTTAGTATCGATAATCATTTCTTTCCGCTTTGATGATCCGATTGATTGTGTGCGTGTGTTTCTTATAGTTATGTTATCACCAATGTAGAGCCCCTAAATGCCCTGGCAAGTGTCTAGTATCCCTCTTGAAATGCTCACATAGCTACGCTTGTTTAGTCACTGCCCAGGAAGTCCTACCCACTGCCTCCCCATGACAGCGGTGTTTATGAAGTCAAGAGGGGGGTGGAGACGAATCTCCAACTAAAGCCTAAACCAGGTTGGTGGGTACGAAGTAGGGGAGTTGGAAAATCTTCGTTTCAAACCAACGGTCCACGTGGACTTTAGGATCCTGAGGGAACAAATAGCCTATGAATCTATTGTTGATAACCAAATTACCACGCGACTGTCTCTTCTGATTTTGCTCTACTAAAACCATTAGGTGAAAGACTCGGCGACTGGCTCTTTAAAATGCCATCTGCCTCAGTTCGGGCACTTGGACATTATGTCAACCCATTCACAAATTCAATATTTTGTCAGTCGCATCAACATTTAGGTGGTGTCTTCTCTACCATTAAATAAAATTAAAAACTTGAAAACAACTGTAGTAATGGATATCAAAGTCTGAATCATCTGCTTTGTAATCTGATAATTGTTTTCTGCGGAACGGTAGGTATTCACTAATTGATGAGTGAATTTTACAGTTATATCCTCGTTCAATCTATTACGCGATATTCACGTGGAATTACCTGACCTTGGCTTTAAACTACACTTAATATGTAAGAACTAGGGCTACTAACTATCTAAATGTTGAAATCAAACTAATGAGAACAGTTTTGGAAATTGATTCGATGGTTGAAAGTTTAGTGTTTTTAAGTGTCGACAGGTTGTTTCTCTAATTCAGTATGTTCACGTCAGATAGTTGGTTGTGGTCGGCATGCAACTGTCTACCTAGGTCTCTTGTTAGCTGGCACTCAATATCAAGGCGTACTTGTAAACTTAACTACATGTATGGGTTCAAACCAACATCTTTCAGCTTCAGGGTATTCAACCAACGCTTAACATTTCAACAAAGCGCACACTATGTTGAGTAGTCATTTAGACTAGTAGTAGCCACACTGCTATTTGCTTGATATTATAATTTGATTAGAGCTGAGATGCATTAGTCAAAGCAGACATTAGTCACTATTACTCAGTGATTTATTGGATTATCAGGATACTTATTTATTGTTGATTAGTTTTGTGCTATAAACTGTGAAAGTTGTCTTGGGTATTCGTTGGATTATTGTGTCATCGAAGATAATCATCAC